GGGTGTGTGAGTGTGTGAATGTGTATGTCTGTCTGTCTGCCCTGCGATGGACTGGCGACCTGTCCAGGGTGTATCCTGCCTTCCGCCCAATGACAGCTGGGATAGGCTCCAGCACCCCACCGCGACCCAGAAGGATAAGCAGTTTAGATGATGTATGTATGTATGTATGGCTTGTCTGGCTATATAGAGTAGAAAGAGTATTGCCTGCACACTGTTGAAAAGTCAGACAAGTCTGGCTAAATCCATTCCACTGTCACAGTGTTGCTTCTAGGCAACAAACCTATTTCTGCAAAGTCTCGTAACAAAACAACTACTGATACTGAAAAGAGGTTTAAATGTGCTCACTAAGAGACCAAGTACATGCTCTTTATTGACCTACTCAAACTCTTCCTTTCATTGTTAACCCTATCATTGTCTTTACATGTATAATGTTATGTAAAGTGAGGAAGATAAGTTTGTTGCCCTGAGGCAACATCGTGCAATAGAGGGTTAAATATGGCATTTTTCTGCAAAACATACAGCATGAAAGGTGCGATAACTTTTGCACAGGCTTCATTGTATGTTTTATTTCTCCAATATGTTGAATTCAGCAAATAATCAGTAATTGCGTATTAAATGTGCAGGGGTGTGTCCTCTGTAGAGGATGTGTAACTTATTTACACTTAGAAAATCACCAAAAACACGTAATTTGACCAGGGGTGCCAAAACTTTTGGCACACATTTCATTAATGTGGAAGTGATGAGCGTGAATTCAGCGCATCACTTTTTTCAACTGTGCTCAAGGGCGTAGTTTTTGGTTTCGGAATTAGCGGGACAGATATGTCAGATATGGTCAACGGCATAAGTTTTGGCACCCTTGGTCAAGATAGGTTAAAAAAGAGGTCATAAAATATGTTGTTGTGGTTAATCAGCCTAATCTCACACTGAGGAGCTGGAACCCTGGAGGACCTGGAGAGATTCTGGTCTCAGATCGCTTGCTGTGTGTTCTCCAGTCTCATCAAGTATCATAGTGGAAAACTCACTGATGTTATGTTGAGAAACAGAAGGTGGACAAAGTGTTAAATGTAGGGGTGCCAATAATTCTGACAGAAGAAATATTTTTAATAAGGGTTTTGTTTTCTTAGACTAACTTCACTAGCTAGGAAAAAAACAGCATGGACTAACATAGCTGGTTACCTTTAAAACTCAATCATCACTGTCAAAACAAAAGCTTCTCCAAAATCTCATTTACATTCAATTTACACTAAATTTTTAACTTTTAATAGAAGTTAATGGATACATTTTTATTCAAAGTCGTTTTGAACTGTTTCTATTGGTGCATTCATCATGAATTTTTGACACAATGTAAAATAAAGCTGGTGATTTTAAATTATGTAAAAAACAAAAAAATGAAAAACAACAAAAAATGGAGATACAAGGTTTTGTCCCAACAGCAGCAATATGTTATGATTTGGATGCTGGTATGTTGGTCAACTGGTATGACCATGCCGGGTGACCAGCTAAACCAGCACCAGACCAGCTTAAACCAGCTTAGACTTAGACTTGTTGGCGTACCCAGTGTTTTTCAGCAGGGTTTATTTCAATGAAGTGATCTACTTTTCTATGTTTTCAATGGGAGATTGAGCTATTTGACCCTTTGGGGTCGATGAACGTACTGGAGTGTCAAATTAGCTGTTTCTCAGTGTTTCTATTAATATCTTTGTGATGATCCAGCTCAGAAATCCAGTTCAAACAGTTTCTGAATCTGTAGAGTCGCCCTTCCCATTCCATCTTATCCCGAGATCATACGAGACTCACATCCGGAGTTATGAGCCTATGAAGAGGGGCTGAGATACACGTGATCTGCCTCTCACCGTGTGGAACTGGTGGATTCGTCTGTCTATATTTTGTGTAAAACCAATGGACACTCAGGGAATCGCTATGGTACACAACACATTCTCCATCAATGCTGCTGTAAAACTGCAACATACATAGTGAAGAATACTCACTACACTGTAGCGGCCAAATTCACCAAAATGTAGCACCAAAAAGGTTCTTTTAGACTCTCAAAAAAGATGGTTAATTAAGGGTTCTTTAGTAAAAACAGGGTTTCATATAGAACCATGAACAAACAAAGAACTCTGCATAGTTAAAGGGTTCTATGCATCATGAAATGGTTCTTCAGCTTGATAGAGAATGTGCTGTCGATGGTTCTATATTGAGCCTTTCTTGAACAGGGTTCTATATAGCACCAAAAAGGGTTCTTTTAGACTCTCAAAAAAGATGGCTAATTAAGGGTTCTTTAGTGAAAACAGGGTTTTATATAGAACCATGAACGCTCAAAGAACTCTAGCATAGTTAAAGGGTTCTATGCATCATGAAATGGTTCTTCAGCTTGATAGAGAATGTGCTGTAGATGGTTCCATATTGAGCCTTTCTTGAAAAGGGTTCTATATAGCACCAAAAAGGGTTCTTTTAGACTCTCAAAAAAGATGGTTAATTAAGGGTTCTTTAGTAAAAAACAGGGTTTTATATTGAACCATGAACAAACAAAGAACTCTCTGCATAGTTAAAGGGTTCTATGCCTCGTGAAATGGTTCTTCAGGTTGATAGAGAATGTGCTGTAGACGGTTCTGTTTTGAGCCTTTCTTGAAAAGGGTTCTATATAGCACCAAAAGGGTTCCAGTATTATTATAAGCCAAAGAACCCTTTTTGGTGCTATATAGAACCCTTTTGGCTAAGAGTGTATTCTTACAAGATTGACATCATAACAGTAGCAGAGACTTTTTGGTGCTATATAGAACTATTCTCAAGCAGCTTTTATGTAGATATTGTATTATTATATTACTATGTTATATATTCTGTGTTGAACCTTTTTGAAAATGGTTCCGTATAGCACCAAAAGGGTTCTGCTATTGTTATGATGTCAAGCTTGTATCCAGAGAGGAACCCTTTTTGGTGCTATACAGAACCGTATGTCAAGTTGACATCCACGAACACTGGTGTTGTACACTGAGCTGGAATGTCAGTTGTTATACAAACTCAGTTCCAAATAAAGCTACATAAACCCTTCTGGACAAGTGACACTGAGTGTGTTTACATGCACTTAATAATCTAATCATAATCAGATTTCTGCAGTTATTCTGATTATTCAAATGGTCGTGTAAACAGCACACTCTGATTTCTTAGATCAGAGTAAGGTCTAGAAATCAGATGAAGAAATCTGATAAACAGGCTCAGTAATCAGATTTCTCAGTGCTGTGAACTCTTACTCTGATTTCTTTCGCCTTTCTCAGTCTGAGCATGTGTGAAAACAGACGGTGGTACCGGAAATAAGTGAGCGGCGTCGCCGTGAGACGCTGAAACCAACTACATGCTTGACGAAATGATTGATTTAAATATTCTTTATCCTCTACATCGGGCTGCACAACTCCGGTCCGGGAGGGCTGGTGTCCAGCACAGTTTGGTGATTTACCTGCTCCAACACACCCAATTACACTTATCTGTTAATTGCCAGGTTAAATGGGTGTGTTTGAGCAGGGAAACCTCCAAACTGCGCTGGACACCGGCCTTCCAGGACCGGAGTGGTGCAGCCCTGATGTAGAGGATGTATGTTCATATTTTCAGGTAAAGTGACTCGATGTTATTTATTTATTTATTTTTTTAAAAAGGCGCAACATGAAGTTCGAGTTTTAAGTTTACGTCACGTCTCCTTCTGTGAGTTTATTGGCTGGTTGTAAAGCAGAAATCTGATTACTGTCTGACTCATGTAGACCTGGACTTTCCACATTATCTGATTACTCAAGTGCATGTAAACACATTGATTGTATTACTGACAAAATCTGATTTTCTGCAGTTATCAGATTATTAAGTGCATTCAGACGCACTCTCTGACCTACATATACGTCTGTAAACACATTTCAATCGTATGATCTGTCCTAAAGGTTGTATTTACCAACTCTGTTTACCAACCAAGCTACAGTGTCAGTTATTGTACAAACCCAATTCCAAAACAGTTGGAACAGGAGATAAAATGTACATAAAAACGGAAAGCAGTGATTTCCTAACTGTCTTTAGGTGTTTAATTAAAAAGAGCAGATATTTAATATTTTACCAAGTTAACTTTATTGCTTTTTGTAAATATACACTAATTATGCAGAAGCTAATTATACTAATTATCCAGAAATAATGCAGAGATTTAAAAAAATTGGAATTCCCTTTTTAATTGACATAAACATTTCTAGCACTCTCCAGTGTAAACTTAGCTTATGTAACTGGAGATAATCTGCTAGCACTCATTCTCAGACTCGTCCATGACCTGACTTGAGGCTTTAAGACACATTAATATGGAAAAAAAATCACTGTTTATTCAGTAAAATGTAACATCAAAACACATATAAGTATTACAATAAATAACCAAGTCAGATACTTCATTGGTAGAAATCTTAATCGTTTGTGTTCTGCATCAGAAAACAAAACTGTTTGCCCTGTTCAGCTGTTCAGTGGTGACTGTAACGATGTCTTTAATACAGAAAATAAGAACAGGGAGTCATTCAGGAGGATTTCCACTGATTTTTCCCCTGCATAGTTCAGTATTTGAGCTGTGAACAGAGATTCAGAGAGGCTTGGTGTGAAATGGTTCAGATGTCTTTACAGTGGTGGTGATAGGAACCAGGGGTCGCCATGACTACAACACAGATATAGACATTTTATTTACTATCCCGAACCACCAGTGAACCTACACAAGTCTTCTGAGTTTATATGGAATGTTGATGATGGAAAATAGTGGAAAATCTGAAATAATCAGTTTTCTTTGGGGACTATTTTGCCTCACAGCGCCCTGCATGTATCCCTCCACCATGAATGGAGTTTAAGTTCTCTAAACTATCATAAAACAGTGTCTCAGTCATCAGGCAGTGAATTCATAACCATTTCATGTAGTAACTTTCTGTGAGGGAGCTTTTAGAGGTGGACGTCTGGTTCCTATCACCACCACTGTGAACAATCCTTACTTCTTACTGGAGCGTTTCACACCAAGCCACTCTGAATGACTCTGTTTACATCTTAACCGTTTAATTATGCAAAGAATTTTGAAAAAAATGGTGGAATTCCTCTTTAATATTCTTCCCATTGACACAAAAGTATTTCACATTTAGAATTAAAAGCAAATACTGGTAAGACCTGTTAGTGTTCACAGCCCAAAAAGCGTAACTAAGAGCTAAAAGAGCGCAGCACAGTGCACAAATCACAAAATTACACTCATTAAAAAAACTCCTTCAGTCTGAGTCCCCTGATGGCAGCAGGTTTTTTTAATCACTGTCCAGCCTGTGTTACGTAACTCTGTCCGAGTTCGGATGATCCTGAGGCCTGGATATCGGCTCAAGCGGACAGCAAAAATCCATATAGTGACCGGAGGGCCTCCAGTAAGCTCAGAGAGAGGAGATGAAGCACTGAGGAGAGTGAGAGTGAGGGAGAGGATGGATTTGACTGAGTGGAATAAGATGCTTATGCTCCTCTGGGCAGCTGTACAGTAATCCTCTGGCCTACACGTGCGCGCTCTTGGCGTGGTTGGTGGAGGAGGGGCTGGTGGGGTTGCTCTGGCCGTGTTTGGAGTAGTAGAATCGGCCGCTGTCCGCGTACGGCGCCGGAGACTCCAGGGAACAGCAGACGATCATGCAGCCGCTCAGCAGAGAGAACGCAGCTCCCACCCAGCCGGCGTACAGGGAGAAGCCGAACGACATCAGGGGCTGCTCCTGGTGGGCTCCAATGGGGAACCACACGGTGGATATGATCCCACACAGAGCTGAGGAGACACACAGACACAGAAAGAGTCAGTGAAGGTTTCTTTTTAAAGTAATATATGTTGAAAAAATATATATTGTCGCTGTAACCTCCATTTTTGTCGATTTTTATTTTTAACATAATTTGAAAAAGCCAGATGCTCTTTATGTTGGGTCAAAATTCTGTGCAGACTGGACCAACAGAAATGGTCCAAAATTACTTGGAAAAAATTATTTCTCCATTAACTTCCATTAAAAGTCGAGAGCATTTTTCCTTCTCCTGTAAAGTCGCCTTTTTGGAGATATGAGGTTTGTTCTGACAGCAGTGATCTAGTTTTTTCCTTACCTACAGAAGAACTAAAGGGACATGGATCACATGACGTTATTTTCATTTGTTTTCTCGAGATCTTGAGTTATTTATATCAACATAACATAATGAATGGCGTTTTCTCAAGATCTTAAGATGTTTATGTCACTATTCAGACATAAGGTTTCACTTTGTTTAGATAGTCCACTATAGTCCCCTTAGATTATCTACAGATGTTCAAATTGTTAACAAACTATCTGTTGAAACTCTCTGTGGTGGGGTTAGGGTTAGGATTTGGACCAGGGTTAGGTCTAAGACCAGGGTTAGGTTTAGGTTTTGGGTTGAGGTTAAGGTTAAGGTTAGGGTTACTGTCCAAATAAAGTGTTACTGGACATAAATGTTATCTCGATAAAACAGTTGTGATGATGATATAAATAACTTGAGATCTAAAAAAACACCCTATATAAAACCTTTTTGAAACGGGTTCTATGTGGCACCAAAAAGGGCTCTGCTATTGTTACTATGTCAAGCTTGTATACAATAGCAGAACCCTTTTCAGTGCTATATAGAACCCTATACAACACATTTACCTATAATCCATTTCACAATGCAAAGAACTATTTGAGCATGCAAATTGTTCTTAGAGTGTTGTATATAGAACCATTGTCTGTACTAAAGAACCTCTAAAGAACCATCTTTTGAGAGTGTAGTTCTGAAAAGGTTCACACTGAATTGGTAAAGGTCCCAGGAGCTCTAGCGGTGAGGAGTCCCGGGTCTGTCCAGGCCAGCGTTTCCCTTCCTGGAGCACCTGGCTGACTCTGATGAGCTGAGCTGAGAGTTAGATTTGGGAAAAGCTGAAAGTGCTGATGTTTCGATGTGGAAGTGCTCCTGTCGCTGCAGTCAGTGCTGAGCATATTAGCGCAGTACATGTACTGTAAGCATAAAGAAGAAAAACAATAACACTACCCTGATTGTATTGGCTCGGAATGCGTCAGCCACCCCCCCACCCCCAACTCGCCCCAAAGGAAGTGTGGGTGAGGTAGGAACGTTTCAAGGCTAATTAAAACTAAACGGTGAGAGACGAGTCCAGAGGGAGGAAGAGGACGGAGCTCAGTGAGTCACAGCGAAATCAACATCTGTTTTCTAGGAACTGTGACGTGATGCAGAGACGTGATGGGAAGCCAACACTTCATGTACAGAAAATGTACATAAAAAAACCCAAAAATGATAAAATAAGATTAAAAATTCACTTTTTATGGCTTGAAAAGGCCTCATTGTATGATGACTGTAAACAAAAGAACAAAAGACTACAGCCAACAGGATTAAAAAGAGCCAAAACAGGGTTTTCCATTCTGTTGTCCACAGTCAGGATACAATTTCATTTTCTAAAACAAGACGTTTTGAGCCTCTATCCATAGGGAGAAATTAATTTTTATACTTTTTAAACCTCTGTAGATGGCCAGAACGTAATGTTCTACTGTTTGGACTCCTATTCATAAGGGAACATTAAGTTTTGTGATTTTTTTTCTTTAAACTTTATCCAGCAGGACAAATTATATTTTGTAATTTTTGAAAATAAGAAGAATTTTTTTTAACTTTTTTTTTTTTTATAACATCCCCATACATAGAGGAAAATACATTTTCTACTTTTCAACTAGATATTAATAGCAGAAAATTATTTTTTGTATGTTTAAGGCCCTATACATATAGACAGATTATATTTTCTAATTTTTATATTGACATGTTAAATTGACTACTATATAGGTGCACTTTGTAGTTCTACAGTTACAGACTGTAGTCCATCTGTTTCTCTGATACTTTGTTAGCCCCCTTTTACCCTGTTCTTCAGTGGTCAGGACCCCCATGGACCCTCACAGAGCAGGTACTGTTTGAGTGGTGGGTCATTCTCAGCACTGCAGTAACACTGACGTGGTGGTGGTGTGTTAGTGTGTGTTGTGCTGGTCTGAGTGGATCAGACACAGCAGTGCTGCTGGAGTTGTGTACCTATATAGTAAGTGGAGCTGATAAAATGGACAATGAGTGTAGAAACATACATACATAGAAACGTGTATATATATATATATATATTGGGGAAAATACTGGTTCTACTTGTTATAATTAAATTACATTGTTGATTCTCTACTCATGGGTGGAAATAATTATATGTAATCAACGTTGTGTTTTGTGTCTTTACTGTTCGACCCCCTTTCCACAGGGGGCACTCTTTTTGTGTGTTTTTTTTTTAACTCCTATCCATTAAGCACCTTCATTAGCTGTCAGATCACCCCTCTGTTATCACTCTTTGGATGTTTTTGATGATGAAGCAGATACAGAAGTGGTCCTGCGTACCCACTATGAGAGTCAGAGCTCCTCCCAGCAGGGCCTGCTTGTTTTTGGCGCTCTGTCCTTCACCCCCGAGGTTCACACACGGCATGGACACCAGCAGCAGCGCGGCAGCAGGTAAACCCAGCATGGAGGCCGTTATCATCAGAGCCCGCGACGTCTGGATATACGCTACAAAAACATTATTAAAAAAGTTATTAAGGTTATTTACACCTCACAGTCCTGCATGTTTCAGTGTTTTCCTGAATTATGAATTATTGCCCATTCATACTCTGAATTAAGGCAATATGGAAAAAAGTATAACATGACAATGTTTATAGTTATCTTCATGATACATGATATACATCACTATATATCGTTTTTCTGAAGTTTGTAAACGAATTGAAACAGAGAAAATACAACAGAGCCACATCTAAAAAAGGCTGAAAAACAATATATATTAGATTTTTGCAAAAAAAAGTGTCCATATAAAAAAAAACTTTATCTAAATAAAAGAATTTGCATCAGTATGTAAATATGTAAAATTGTGTAAATATGGATAAAATAAATATAAATTATGTAAACATGGATAAAATATCCATATATGTAAACTAAACTGCACTAACAGCAAAACAGCCCATTTTAAATGTTGTGATGTCACAAAATCCAACACATCCACACTGAAGTTATGAGGAATATTTCATCCCACAGTGCTTTGTTGAAAAAAGAAGTATACAAGGCAGCCAATCAGGACAGAGCTCATTTAAATATATCAGTCTTAAAGGCACAGTAACAAAAAGAGCTGTTGAAATGTGATAAAGAGAGGCTGAAAATTTAGACACGTAAAAATGAATTATGACTGTTTTTGGTACATAAAACCACACAAATTCTTATTCCACTGCCGGATTATTTCATGAAATGAGCAAAATTACTAAAACGTACAAATGTGTAAAAATAACTTTTTCTTATAAGAATGTCTTTAGATTTCATACACAGCAAAGATATGTTGTCTGTCTAGGCAATCTATCAAATGTTCCTCATTATAAGACTGTTATATAGACATTATAAGACAATATTATAAGAATATTCAACTTCTGCATGTTTTACACATCAAGTGAGTTTATTTATTTTATTGAGTTTATTGTATTGGTAGATCATTTTGCTTGTTTCCAGACATAATGCTTGAAACAAGTGCCAATATGACACAGTTTATCGATAAAATGACTTAAAACACTCTCAAAATAAGAAATATTAGATATATTGATGAGATTTAAGATGATTTTACTTTCCAAGATACCATTTTTTGTAGTTCAGTGGAACAACAGGAAAGTTTATTGCTGAGATTTCACCACTACAGAGTGGCTAACACAGTATACAGCACTATTTCCCTAAGAGGGAGGAGTTAACTGACCACAGTTATTGTTTATACAACCTGTTATGATGTGCAGTGAGATTGTAGAGCACTGGACGTTCTGGACATTTGGGGGTCGGGGTGGGGACAGCTTGCATTATACATTTTGTCCCAGATACATTGCTATAGAGGATAACCACCATCAGTCGTAGCTAAAGTGTTATGACTGGCTTTTACACGGTAAAACTTTCATGCAGCTTTGGTTGTTTGAAACCTACATGTTTTGAAACCTTGTTTGAAAACTAAATTGCACTTAATTTGCATAATATGAAGCATCCTGCAACTCACTTGAAACTCATGCAAAGTTGCGTCACAATTTATCTTGCATCTTGCAATTCAAAGCAATTCAAAAACAGTTAAAAAAAAAAAGTTGCACGCAACATATTCAGTTACTCCACTAGAATTAGCTCGTAGTTTTGATTCACTGCATCGTTCTCGATTTCGAGTAATCTGCAAGGTGTTATTTACATGTTTGCATTATTTTGCTAAATATTGTCATAAATGTCAGTAGCTGTTACGATTATAGCCTACTCGATAACTTGCTGTCCAAGATATCTATTCTGACCTAGAAGAATTGCAAGCTCATCGAAGAGCATCTCACTCTCCTGTTCTGTAATAATTCACATTGTTTTGATTCCAAATTAATCTGAGCTCTGTGTAAAATTGGGTGGAGAGGAGAAAATGAACCTAACATCTATGTAGATCATGATAGCACAAAAAAAGACATCTGCACAAACAGCTGTTAGCATTAGCTGGCTAGTTAACACAGCTGGTTACAGAAACATTAGCTTGCACAAACTCACGTTTGTTGTCGTGGCTCAAGAAACTGACAATGGAAACAGCGTTCAACATAATTACAGGACACATTATCATTGCTGTGATTAGCTGTTTTGTGAAACTTGTTTCACACAGTTTAAATGCTTGCCACTGTTGCGAGTTTCAAGTGAGTTGCAGGACATTTATAGGCCATTACAGTGCATTTGTTGTGGCTGATTTTCAAGTAAGTTGCAGTAAAGTTTCAAGTGAATTGCACGGCATTTTTGTGGTGGTGCAGGAAATTTGTTGCGCCTGGGTTTCTAGTGAGTTGCAGGATATTTACTTTGCATTATGCAGCTCTAATGCAATTTAGTTTCATTCACAACTAAAGTTGCATGAAAATGTCACCTTGTAAAGCCAGACTAAGGAGAGCTTTGCAGTCTCTTTTATGTATTTAAGATGATAAAAAGGCACAAGAAAACAAAATAACACCCCCAACACCCGTAGGCACACCGCTGGGCCATGCTTTCAGACACAGCAAATCAGGAAACATGTTAACTAGCAGGTGTTGGAGCAGAAAATACTCAAATATGCATGCTGGGATTCATCCAGGACACATTACAGGGAGCCACTGCTACAGTCAATAAGATACTCATCCTAAACCGATGTTTACTGATCCAGTCCTCGAGACCTTCGAACAAGAAGGTGGCGAATAAGAAGCCAACTTCAGCTCTGTCTGTCTTATTTTATAATTATAATTTTTATTTATGTGTATATGTATTAAGATTAGAAGTGATTCACACATTCATGGATTTGCTGATGTGTCTGATTATGTTTCTCGCGCTAAACTCGGGTTTTTAACGTCAGGTGCAGATTGAATACCTTCCTGCTGGTCCGGACAGCTAATTATCACGATCAGTTATTAAAGTAATAAAAGATACCGAGAGCAGATCCGTGTAGCCCAGATTAATCTGTGTCTGAGGATTAGAACTAAACAGATTTGTTGAAAATCAGTTGAGCAGTAAGGAAGTTGTGGCTGATTTAATCCGGAGACTCATCGTCTCTCAATACAAGTGAATCTGTTCACAAGCGGATCTTGACCTCTCCAACATGGCGGACGCTCAGACATATCGCCTCAGATAGAGAACAACAGACAACGCGGCATCCAGGTATGTATTTCTATGACTCCAGCACTCAGTACCTGGTGCAGGTGTGCCGGCAGCTGGGACAGAGCAAAACTGTGGCCTGTATGAGGAGATCATTAGGAAACAATCACTGGGAAAATGTACAGGCCGGCAGTCCTGCACTTTTTATCATGATAGGGAGGCGGGGTCCAAACTTCAAGCGAGGACGAACCCTGGCGAGGAGAAAACCGCAAGTGAGTGAGGGACGGCGCAAATCCCGACCGCTGGTGAAGACGTGAAGTCTGTGTCTGCGGCCAGCGTGGCCTCCCCCAACCGGCCGCTGATGGAGCCCCTACCCAGGCCGCAGCCTTGTTCTCCCACCCTCCCGGCCTGCGCTGGGTCTTTCCCCGGGGGGGATGTCGGCTCAGACCGGGTTCCCAGCCTGAGTTGGGTGGTGGGGGTGTATGGCATGCGCCTGTCCCCCACTCACTGGCGGCTCTCTCCCTGCCGTCCTCGCCGAGGTTCGTCCTCGCTCGGAGTTTGGACCCCGCCCCCCTGCCGGCTCTCGCAGCTGTCATCAGGGTCCGGGGGGCAAGCGCATGCCATTATTATAATATATTTATTATGATAATATCACTGTTCTATAGGAATAGAATCGGCCCTCCATGATCATAATATAGAACTCCCTGTAAAGTGCCCATTCATTCTGAATGTTTTATCCTACACACTTCAAAAAGATGGTTCTGCAAGGGTTCTTTAGTTCTTTAGTTTTCATGCTTAAATGGTTGCCTGCCTGGTAAAGTGGTTCTTTAGTTTAATGGAGAATGTGTTTTATTTGGTTCTATACAGCACCAAAAAGGATTCTTCTGTTGTTGCAACCTTGACATCATAACAATAGCAGAACCCTTTTTGATGCTATATAGAACTGTTCTTTGAGTGTTCATGGTTCTAAACAGGACTATTTTCTTTACTAAAGAGCCATCTTTGTTAAGAGTGTAGAACCAAAAAGGTTCTTTTGTTGTTACAACCTTCATATCATAACAGTAGAAGGACCCTTATTGATGCTATAGAACTATCGTCAAAAAGGTTCTATGTAGACTCATATACAACACCATCAATCCAGAGAACCATTTCACCTTGCAAAGAATGGTGAACCATTTAAGCATGCAAATTGGTCTTTGAGTGTTCATGGTTCTAAAGAGAACCACTGTATTTACTAAAGAACGCTTGAAGAACCATCTTTGTTAAGAGTGTAGCACCAAAAAGGTTCTTCTTTTGTTATAATCTTTACATCGTGACAATAGCAGAACCCTTTTTGATGCAATATGGAACCCTTTACAAAAAGGTTCTATATAGCATCAAATAAATATAATTTACATGATTAAATGATTCTTTGAGTGTTTCACGTTCTATATAGAACTATTCTTTGCTAAAGAACCTTTAAAGAACCATCTTTGTTAAGAGTGTAGCACCAAAAAGGTTCTTCTTTTGTTATAAATATATAGAATATTTTTCAAAAAGGTTCTATATAGAACCATACACAACACATTCGTCATCAATCTGAAGAGCCATTTCACCATGCAAAGAACCATTTAATCATGCAAATGGTTCTTTGAGTGTTAATGGTTCTAAACAGGACAGAACCCTTGAGAACCTTTGTTAAGAGTGTATGACTCTCCACTCTTCTGCTGCTCTACCCCCTCCAGGCTGAGTGAGAGGAGACGTTCTGTGTGTTCTGAGTGCGGGTTCCTCACCGGGCAGCTCGAGGATCTGGTTGAGGGAGATGCAGTGGTACAGCGCCGTGGAGGTCACGCACTCCGCCCACAGCCCTTTGTTCCCCAGCTCGTCCATCTTCTTACAGGTGTTCATGCCGTACTTACAGGTCACCACCCACTCGTTAGTCGCCGTGGCGATGATGAGGCCCACCCAGCCGAGCAGACTGACCAGAAAGCCGGTCAACTGCAGGCACGTATTGGCCATGACCCCTGATGACCGACCCTGACTATAAACGAGGAAAAAATAATAAAAAAGAACCTCTGAAGCTTCAGTTCACTTCAGTAGTGAATTGCTGACTCAGGGCAGGTGAGGCGAGTCTACTGGGACAGCGTTCCGGAGGCAGTGAGGATATTCCGGGCAGTGAAGGTCATGGTGAGCTGCAGCTCCGACTCTGAACCAGCTCCCGATTTCACTCTGAACTCCAGCAAAACCTCACTGTGGCTTTTATAGCTCAGCACCACAGCCCAAACTTTCAGCCAATCAGAGCGCAGGAAACTCTCAGGGATGGGACATTCTTTCTTTTACTCTCTCTCTCTGTCTCTCTCTCTCTCTCTCTCCTGTGCCCCCCACCCACATTCTCTCTTTTACTGTCTCTCTCTCTCTCTCTCTCTCTCCTGTGACCCCCACCCACATTCTTTCTTTTACTCTCTCTCTTTCCTGTGCCCCCTCACCCCCCACACCTTTTTTCTTTTTCTTTTCCTTTTTTCTCTGTTTTTCCTTTTCCTTTCTCTTTCTCTTCATCTCTCTCTCTCTCTCTCTCTCTCTCTCTCTCTCTCTCTCTTTCCACCTCTCTCTCTCTCTCTCTCTCTCACTCTCTTTCTCTCTCTCTCTCTTTTTCTCTTCTCTGTCTCTGTCCTCTCACTTTCTATATTTCCTCTCTCTCTCCTCCCCTCTCTTTCTTTTTCCTATCCCTCTTTTTCCTCTCTCTCTTTCTTTCTTTCCTCTCTCTTTCTTTTTTCCTCTCTTTCTCTCTCTCTCTCTCTCTCTCTCTCTCTTTCAACCCCCCCCTCTCTCTTTCCACCTCTCTCTCTCTCTCTCTCTCTCTCTCTTTGTTTGTTTCCACCTCTTTCTTTCTTTCTTTCTTTCTTTCTTTCTTTCTTTCTTCCTGTCCCTCTCTCTTTCTCTCTTTCCTTTCTGTGCATTGTTTTTGTCAAAACTTGAAAACTTGAAAGTGCAATAAAAAACATAAAATCTGGAAATGAAAACTTTCGTCTCTATAAACGTAAAAATAAGAAGTGAAAAAGTGAAAATCGTCAAATGAAAAATTGACTTTCTGCATCATAAACACACAGCGCAGTCCGGCTGATCCAGAGCGTCCACCCTGTGGTCAGATTATTGTGGTGTGAGCGCCCTCTGGTGGCTGCAATGGGAAAAACACAGCTTTTCCATATAATATCTGAACATGGATCGACTCAGAGTTTCCTCTGAAATGAAGGTGTTAGTAGTGAGTCTGTGCTGCAGTAACAGCCTCTACTCTTCTGGGAAGGCTTTACACTAGATGTTGAACATGGCTGTGAGGATTTGATTGAGCATTAGTGAGGTCAGGTACCGATGTTGGATGGTCAGTTCTGGATCACTCCAGCTCATCCCAAAGGTATTGGATGGAGCTCCATCACTCCAGAGAACACAGTTCCAGTGCTCCACAGCCCAATGCTGGGGGGCTTTATACCCCTCTAGCCCACGCTGGGCATTGGGCATGGAGACCTTAGGCTCATGTGCAGCGTCTTCAGAGCGTCCCATTCTATTGGTCAGTGCTTATACAAGTGGTGCACCACCTGTGTCAGCAGTGAGTACACCTTAAAGGGGAATTCCACCCAGTTTTCTAAACTTCCCCCATTACTCAGTGTGTGAGATGTAAACAGAGTGATTCAGAGTGGTTTGGTGTGAAATGGTTCAGATGTCTTTACAGTGGTGGTGATAGGAACCAGGGGTCGCCATGACTACAACACAAATATAGACATTTTATTTACTATCCAGAACCACCAGTGAACCTACACGAGTCTCCTGGGTTTATATGGAATGTTGATGATGGAAAATAGTGGAAAATCTGAAATAATAAGTTTTCTATGGGGACTATTTTGCCTCACAGCGCCCTGCATGTATCCCTCCACCATGAATGGAGTTTAAGTTCTCTAAACTATCATAAAACAGTGTCTCAGTCATCAGGCAGTGAATTCATAACCATTTCATGTAGTAACTTTCTGTGAGGGAGCTTTTAGAGGTGGACGTCTGGTTCCTATCACCACCACTGTGAACAGTTCTGACTCAGTAAGTTTATCTAGAACAGAGCGTTTCACACCAAACCACTCTGAACGACTCTGTTTACATCTTAACCACTTAATTATTATTTTGAAAAATAGGTTGAATCCTCCTTTAATGGAATGCTTTCAAAAATGCTAACATGTATGAGTCTCTATCATCAGCGAGGCCTGTATTTTCAGTTTTGCAAACATTATAAATGGAATTCAAATGAAATAAAAGAATATTAAATCATTATCATTAAAGAATAATTTAATAAAATCTACCTGTTCTTATAAGGTCATGTTAACTTTACTTGTTTGTTTGTTTTTGTATTCACTAACTTACTGGTCCTGTCTCTGTGAGCAAAGATAGCGATTTTGGGACTGAAGTGTTTAAAACATATTTCTAAAAATCCTAACACAGTTAATAATGGAATAAAATATGCATAATATAAGTTTTCTTTTTGCCTCAGAACGGCCAAAATCTTCCCAAAATATTGGGAAACATCTCAGACATCAGGTAACATATTCATAACCATTTCAAAACCATTTTACAGGTTATTAGCATTATTATTGCTTTTGTGAGATCTTTGAAAAACAGTGCCAGTCAAAAGTTTGGGCACACCTACTCAGAGAAGACTTCCCTTATTTTCCAGATCTTAGAAGACTGTGATCATGGAATAATGTAATAAATTCAAAAATAGCCATCGGCTTTACCTCTTATATGCATCTTAGAAACAATTTTCTAGCACTTAAGGGGCAATTTCACCATTTTTTCAAAATTCCTGCATAATTCCGTTGTTGATTTGATACGTTTTCTTTGGGACTATTTTGCCTCACGGTGCCCTGTGTACCCTTCCACCATGAAAGGACTAAATACTCTGCGTCAGGCAGTGAATTCATTAACCATTTCATGTAATAATTTTCTGTAAGGGAGCTTTTAGAGGTGGACGTCTGGTTCCTATCACCACCACTGTGAACAGTTCTGACTCAGTAAGTTTCTCTAGAACGGTTTCACACCAAACCACTCTGAATGACTCTGTTTACATCTTTACCACTTAATTATTATTTTGAAAAATAGGTTGAATCCTCCTTTAATGGAATGCTTTCAAAAATGCTAACATGTATGAGTCTCTATCATCAGCGAGGCCTGTATTTTCAGTTTTCCAAACATTATAAATGGAATTCAAATGAAATAAAAGAATATTAACACGACTTTAACACGTTTAGTTATGCAGACAATTTTGAAAGTTTGAAAAGAGTCCCTCTTTTTAAGTAACTGAATTCACTAACTGTATGTTGACTGACATGGCAGGTGGGAGTTTCACTTACTCAAAAGTGTTCTGAGGGCAGAATGAAAAATGATTGGTTCAGAGAGATAACCAATCAAATTGTAGAGGAGGCGGGGGGGGGAAAAAGGCGGGACCAAAAAAACAAAAAAAAACAAAAAAAAACACGATCTCCAGCAGTGGAAGGTTGCGGCTGTGAAGCTGGGATTTTGGAATAAACTTTAAGCAAATGAAAAATGTTTTTCATTTTTGTTTATCTTATTTATTTAGTATGTGGCTTTATCTTGTTGAGCTAGCTTGAACCAAGTAAGTGAACCTTTAATAGGCTAGCTAGCTAGCTGGATTAGCTATTTATAATTGCAGTCAAAAATCCCATAGTGTTGACTTGTTAATAGCTATGTTAGCTGTTGCTGTATATGCATTAGCATGCTTGGCACCCTTACATTTTTTGGGAGTGAGCTGTTTGAGTTTAGCTGAGTTTATTGCACCACAGCATAGCCAGATAGCTAGCTCATTAGCCCATATCTTACTACACAGTGTTGGTCTATTGAGCAGAGCTGCTTTTGAACTACTCTTAGGGCAGAAGAAATGAACTGCGTAGTGTAGTTCTGCTTCTGAAGCAGGAGAAATGTACTGTGTAGTGTAGTTCTGCTCTTAAGGCAGGAGAAATGTACTGTGTAGTGTAGTTCTGCTCTTAAGGCAGGAGAAATGTACTGTGTAGTGTAGTTCTGCTCTTAAGGCAGGAGAAATGTACTGTGTAGTGTAGTTCTGCTCTTAAGGCAGGAGAAATGTACTGTGTAGTGTAGTTCTGCTCTTAAGGCAGGAGAAATGTACTGTGTAGTGTAGTTCTGCTCTTAAGGCAGGAGAAATGTACTGTGTAGTGTAGTTCTGCTCTTAAGGCAGGAGAAATGTACTGTGTAGTGTAGTTCTGCTCTTAAGGCAGGAGAAATGTACTGTGTAGTGTAGTTCTGCTCTTAAGGCAGGAGAAATGTACTGTGTAGTGTAGTTCTGCTCTTAAGGCAGGAGAAATGTACTGTGTAGTGTAGTTCTGCTCTTAAGGCAGGAGAAATGTACTGTGTAGTGTAGTTCTGCTCTTAAGGCAGGAGAAATGTACTGTGTAGTGTAGTTCTGCTCTTAAGGCAGGAGAAATGTACTGTGTAGTGTAGTTCTGCTCTTAAGGCAGGAGAAATGTACTGTGTAGTGTAGTTCTGCTCTTAAGGCAGGAGAAATGTACTGTGTAGTGTAGTTCTGCTCTTAAGGCAGGAGAAATGTACTGTGTAGTGTAGTTCTGCTCTTAAGGCAGGAGAAATGTACTGTGTAGTGTAGTTCTGCTCTTAAGGCAGGAGAAATGTACTGTGTAGTGTAGTTCTGCTCTTAAGGCAGGAGAAATGTACTGTGTAGTGTAGTTCTGCTCTTAAGGCAGGAGAAATGTACTGTGTAGTGTAGTTCTGCTCTTAAGGCAGGAGAAATGTACTGTGTAGTGTAGTTCTGCTCTTAAGGCAGGAGAAATGTACTGTGTAGTGTAGTTCTGCTCTTAAGGCAGGAGAAATGTACTGTGTAGTGTAGTTCTGCTCTTAAGGCAGGAGAAATGTACTGTGTAGTGTAGTTCTGCTCTTAAGGCAGGAGAAATGTACTGTGTAGTGTAGTTCTGCTCTTAAGGCAGGAGAAATGTACTGTGTAGTGTAGTTCTGCTCTTAAGGCAGGAGAAATGTACTGTGTAGTGTAGTTCTGCTCTTAAGGCAGGAGAAATGTACTGTGTAGTGTAGTTCTGCTCTTAAGGCAGGAGAAATGTACTGTGTAGTGTAGTTCTGCTCTTAAGGCAGGAGAAATGTACTGTGTAGTGTAGTTCTGCTCTTAAGGCAGGAGAAATGTACTGTGTAGTGTAGTTCTGCTCTTAAGGCAGGAGAAATGTACTGTGTAGTGTAGTTCTGCTCTTAAGGCAGGAGAAATGTACTGTGTAGTGTAGTTCTGCTCTTAAGGCAG